TTTTAAGATTTGACCTCTCAAAACAATTTGTTGAAGTGATCTAGCATCTTATTTGTTCGCTTGCATATAACTTCTAGCTAAGCAATGAGCTAAGCAAATTTCTCTGATTCTGAAGTTTTAAGAAGAAATAAGCATACCATAGAACACAGAAAGAAAAGAAAATGGCAGGATGAAGTTTTTTAGGGGTCTTTTGCGAAAAAAAGCGATGTAAAGGCATGGTGTGACCAAGTTGATTTAAAATGACAAAATCACCCCTCATGCGTTCTTTCATTAATGCTCTACAGTCAAAATCGCCGTTTCGAATCACTTCCATTCCACGATTCACAATGAGTCGTCCCTTAAAAATTTCAACGCTATAAATGATTCAATATGCAGTAGCAGAAACTTACACGTTCAAAAAGTTCAATTTTTCTGTATACTTCCTCCGAATCAAGTTCCGCAAAACTTTCATCTCCTTCGCCGTTTTCTTCCGACTCTAAAAAAATACGTCTGAGACGAGAAGCATAGAAAGTTTTACATTCTTCAAACTTTTGTTCTAATGCAGTGAAAAGCTCACAATCGCACTTACGAAGCATATTCTTCATGACGTTAACGCTAGCTTCTGTGAAAACTTGACGTTCTCCAAAAATGTCAATGCAGCGGCTCATAACCTGCTTCACGCTAGGGGATCCTCTGTATTACAACCAGATGATATACAAAGAGGTGGCTGTTATCAAATCAAACATCAAACTCACTTCCCCATCGTAACAGCGCTGAGTACTGCAGGTTGGAAAGCAGGAATAAGCACATCCATATGCTTATTCTTAGCTCGTTGAACAACATCGTTCATTACGTAAAATAGTGCTATCCGTTGCTCATCCTTCTTAGCTATAAAGATTTCCACTTAAACTGAAGCAACACAACACTTGCTTCACTATTTTATTTCATAAAATGCTGCATGTAGAATGAAAATGGCAGGATAGCTATGCCTTTACAAGGCTATTCTAGCTTGAAGTTAAACTTTCACAAGTTTTTGCTGTCCTTCACGTTTCGGCAAGGAAAAAGCGTTACTAAGTTCCTCAAGGTAAACGTTCTGCAGATAATAAAGGGACATCTGAAAACAGTGTTTCGAGCCTCATCCACTGTGCATCTGTTTGTAAAAGCCAAATCGTATATGAGATTGCGTGATATGGGCTAGATGCTGAATGTGATCGTGATCAGTATATATCAGTCAGATACCCCTGACTACATGTGAAAGTGAGTAAGAACAGAATTCTGGAATTTTTAATCACTTTAATTGGGCACGACGAAAGCTTGTCAGAATCTACATCCGTTCTGCTTTTTTCAACTATCAGTGGAGGTAGTATTTTCGATGTTTTTCACCTAAAAATTATGAACCAACACCCTTCCAAAATTCAACATATCTAAGGCATAAACGGCAAGCGAATGAAAATTACACAGAGCGAAACCTGTGCATCAAATTCTGGAGCTGTAAGCTTCAACGGCAGCGTCCGGACAAATTGAGGATTCTGAGTCACCCAAAAATGACGGCCAACTCCTCAGCTGAGCTAGTCCTCAATTTAGGATCATTCGCCGTGGTAAGCGAGGAAAGCGCTCCGAACTTTAGGGTCCGCCTCTTTCAGGTCACTCCGCCTGCTCAGTGAGCAAAAGCAGTGGTCTCTAGCGAAAAAGGTATGTGACCGTTTTCGGACCAAAAGTCCAAAATTTGAGATAGCCACTCTGCCGCTCATCCCTTTGAAGCTGAATAGGTCTTGGAATCCCTGCTTTTTCGACAACACGGTAATTGAATCCATTCGTTTTTAGCGCACGCATACCTGCTCTAGAAAAGGTGAAAAACCCGGAGCCAGAAATTTCCCTGATACTGCTTTCGAGTGTATTCGACTATTCTTTGCTTTTCAACTCGGAATGCAACTTACCTGTCTTGAAACTCTCAAGCCACGCTTCAACGATTGTATCAATAGATCTCTTGTCCTTGTAATGCATAACCCAAAGCGAAATTGTTTCGATAGCTTCTTGTGAAACACTATGGATCTGAAAGCTGATTATCACATACCTAACACTGTTTCACATCTAAGCAAGATTGATAAGCAATTTCATAACAGGACTAGAGTATTAATATTTGAGTTCATAACATGTAACTTACATCTTGGAAGCGACGCATAACTGCGTCCATAGTGAGACCAGTCATGGCGGTCGAACGTGGACCAGATGCGTAATTTATAATTTCATACAACGACGAAAAAATCGGCTCTAAAAAACAATAAAGAGTCTAAACATGGAGCACAAACAACACAAAGGAAAAAAAAAGAGAATAGCTGCGAGAACACCAATTTGGACAAATTTATAACGTGTGATTAGAGTGTTTGATTGGACATAACATGACCCAAAACCACTTCACATTTCACGATTTCAATTAAAATTGCAATGTCATCCGCGATATTTGAACTACAACCGAAACAACGAGCGCTAAAGCGCTGGTGACAGCTCTGTTTTCTGGAGCCACGGTGCGCCAAAACCTGTTTACCGCCCAGTCGTTTAGCAAGGAGTCTACACGTATTTGTTATGAGTGTTTTTCTGCACAATGCTTAGAAGTGTCTCTAAATTGAGTAGCCTTCGCAACCAGTTTTGGCCGTGGAAAGAGCATGGAACTCAACTTTGCATTAACAAATTAACATCGTAAGTAATGGTCTTCGCTATTGTTTTCTTTCATCTTTAATGTTGTGCTATGCAATAAATATTACTCACTGCGCGTGCACTGATGCATCAAAATGATCCATGCAAGGTTCGTATAATGAAGTCACAATAATTAGCCCTAGCGAAACTTCGTAATTTTTTTTATAGAATCAACCATACAATGGTTTTTCTGAAGGAACGTTACATAATAGAAGCGGAATTTGCTATCTTTTGCCACATTAAATTTCTTCCTGCAGTCCTTGTTTTTTGCCGTGACATGTTTACGCTGTAAATGAACAGAACATTGAGGTCCGGTAAACGGCACCCCAGCCAACGGCCGGATCGCAATATAGCGCGTGGGGCAACTAGGGCAACTTATTTACAGCTGCATCGATCTCTTTTTCGTATAAAACAGGGATATCACCT